TGTGTTTTGAAAATGGACTGGGATTCCCCCTGACCCCCCCCCCCCCCCACAGCCACTTTTGGGAATTTGGCGGCCCAATTGCAGGAACCCTATGGCGAAACAGGCAAGGAACAGTCAAGGCCGAATCTTGCCGGCCACAGGAGGCGGCAGCCGTTCAAACTTGGGGACGGCTCATGACTTGCGATTCCACACCGAACTATACTCGAGGTGCCACGAGATTTGCACTGTAGCTCGAGATCAGCATTTTAGACGGGTCGGGCAGGCGAGGGGCATGCGAATGAAACTTCCACGGATCGATATTGGGGAGTTTCGGCAAATTGTTTCGTTTTGGTCAGACACAATGGTCAGACAAAATTGCCCAGAAAAAAATTGGAATCAAAAGATCCGAAAAGAGGCTCAGATTTTTTGTCGGCATGACGTGGTAACGCCCCCCCCGCTGATTGGCCGAAAGACTCGCGTGCACCGTTCCCCACGCCGCTTCTTCCCTTTTGTGTACACGAACAAAAAGAGGTGTCGTTGTGCTTGGTTGGCTGCTGCTATCATCCAAGGTGCCGGGAGCATCCAGCGGGGGTGTTGCCACCGCAGAGAAGTACCCCGTGTAAAGGCTTCTTGCAAGCAAACTCTCAGCCGCTTGCGAAAGAGAGGGGTGGCGGTTCATTCAAAAGCAGCAGCAGCAGCAGCAGCAGCGGCAGCTAGCAGCAGCGGCACAGCTTGAGCCGAGTACAGTCACCCTCACATTTCTTACACAGCGATTTTTTAAGCAGCATTGCAAACCGCAGCAGCTGTCTAGAGGGCGTGGAGCCGATAGAGAGTAACACAAGGCAACTTTTGGGCCACCTCCCAGCAGTTCGAGTGGCCTACAGCTCATGGTCTGGGTGTTCTCCTGAACTGGCTGTAGACAAGAGAGTTGCTCTATTTTGAGGCTGATGACACTTGTCTCATCCCACCCTTGGTCGGTTCCTTCCCCATCGATCACCTCATACATGCACATATTATGCTGTAGACACACACCGCCAGCATCGGAGGAGGAGGAGGTCCGTCGTCCAGTGGTCGTGGTGTGGTGACAGGAGGCTCGGACGAGTCTGTCTGTACCCTGCGATACCATCTTGTGGGTTCCTACTACACTACGACGCGCTGTTGCTGCTAAAAAATCTGGACCTATTTGAACAGGAACCCTCGCCTCAGATAAGGTGAGGGTGGAGAGAGGCTTTTGTCTGAGCCGCGGGAGAAACGTGGGCCAGCCTCAGACAAATAAAACCGTTACCGGCTACACATTCCAAAAAATCTGACCCTCTGTTTGTCTGAGCAGTTTGTCTGACCCGGGTACTCGTAGAAAAAAATTCAAGACACATAGGCCCCCCCCCCCCCCCCCCCGGAGGGGGGAAAAATTTAAAAAATTTACCTGAAACCTCCAAAAATTACCATGAATTTCCAATGAGGAAGGGTAAAAGGGAGGGAAAAATGGCTCTCTGTCGTTTCCCCTTTCCCATTTGGTCCTGCTTCATGGGTGCCCATGGTCACCCAACCGTGGTAAAAGAAAACACACACGTAAGAAAATTTCGTAATTACCAAAGTATAAAGTATTCAACAAAACTCGAAATGAACGGAAAAATGTGGTGTTTCCCCTTTCCCATCTGGTCCTCATCCAAGGGCGCCCATGGTCACCCCACCGTGGTAAAAGAAAACACAAACGTAAGAAAATTTCGTATTTACCAAAATATACAGTATCCAACAAAACTTCAAATGAACGGAAAAACTTAACCAAAAAACATAAATTGAAACACCTGGCTTGGAAAATTGGCATTGGCGCATTTAACAATGGACAAAAAAAAAAATAATCCTGGC